AATTGTAAACTTCATGAAGTCAGGGACCTGTCTTTGTGTTAATCTTATATTTCTGGCACCCTAGTGCCCAGCACCTAGTGAATATTATTCAATTAATGATTACTGCATGAGTATTAAGGTATCAGATGTATTTTGAATTTTCTCTTTTATTTTCCTAGTAAATGAGAGAATAGGATAAGAAATGCTTTTTTTCCTGTAAATATTAATGTGGGACAACAAATCCTAGCTGTACGTTCATAGTCGCTGCCCGATAGCCGTGGTTATATTTTCCTCCTTTAAGTGACCTACAGGTGAGCCCTGGAATCATAGAGCATCAGGCAGTGGTTTTCTGTGTATGATTCTGTAGAGTAGTCCTTTCTAGTCTCCAGCCCAGGATATAACGATACGTTACGTTTGTTCATTTCCATTTATGTTTTGTTTTATTACTTTTCTGTGTTTTAATATCTACAGTTTATTAGCTGCTATTGATACATCTTTTTTTTTTAATTAAAAGTAATGTATTATCCTTGTCTTTTGTAGAGTGATTTCAGAGAACGCTTCAACGCAGCCAGCAGTGCCTCCAAAATTTTGCAGGAAAGAATTGAGGAAATGAGAACAAGTAATAAAGAAAAAGACAATACCATTATTCGGCTGAAATCTAGACTTCAGGATTTAGAAGAGGCATTTGAGAATGCTTACAAACTCTCAGATGATAAGGAGGCGAGACTAAAACAAGAAAACAAAATGTTTCAAGATGTAAGTGGCAAGTGATGGTATCTCAGTGACACGGTTGGCTAAAAGTGATTTCAGATACTCTGCTCTAACAAGCTGTTATGACTTTTTCCACGTTTGTTTTCATTTTACATAACTTTACTGTAGCTGCAAGTATAGGTACTGCCTTCTGACTGAGGCAGTTGGGTCTTATCTTGAAGCAGGAAGTTGGGCTTTCAGAACTGGTGTCACTCCCACGCCTTTCTGTCTCTAGCAGGTTGGCTTTGAGCTGTCTTAAATCAACATCTGTGTGTCTGGTAAAACGAACCAGATTTACAGTGGCTTGGTAGAATTTTAACTTTGATTTAATTTCACTTAAAATTTAGAATTGTGTAACCTTGAAACCGGCTCAGGTTTCAGGTTGTTTTTTTTTTCCCCTAAGTTTTTCTTAATATCCTTTGTCTTGGGACATAAAAAATCTGAAAGTATTTCAGCTGTTGAAGTTTTCTTCCTGGTAGCTTTTGATTTGATTCTTGCTGCTTTGTTTTTTTGAAGTTTCTTTTCATGAAGGTAATACATATAAATAGTTTAAATAGTCAAAACTGAAATGAGAAACAGCAGTCTCCTCCACCTCGCCCTGCCTTGGAGCCCTTTACCCTCGAGGCTGTTACTTTCAGCTCTTTATGCTATTTCTTCTAAAGGTTTGCTCATGTTTTTAAACAACAAACTTACATTGCTCTTTTCCCTGTCAGTTTCAGACGTTGTATATTGACTTCCTTCCGTGCAAGGTCACGGTTTAGCTCCCCACACAAACTCTTCTCCCCCTCCTTCCAGTGTGGTTCGTATATTTAATGGATTCTAAGAAGCTTATTCTTTTACATTTCGACAGCTCTGACACTGAACTGCATCTTTACATTATAGTGTTATATTTTACCTGGCAGCATTTTTTTCTCTTAGTATTTTACTAAATAATAATATATAAAGTAGTATGATTTCCAGTCAGTGTTGTCTTAGATTTTAAATATAATGATTTGTCATTTATAGGTGAAGCAGAATTCAGTATTTGTTATGTCGCTGCACATATTTTTCAGAGCTAAGATGCAGTGTCCAGTGATTGTATTTCCTGTCTCTTACAACGTTTATTATTCCTAGCTTAATAACTGCCTTCTTAAAAATCTGCTTAGTTTTCTATATGCATAGAGCTTACTTTCCCCCGCCTCCCCAGTACGCTTGCTTCAGTCTGAACTGATTGCCCTTCAGGTCTCTTACACAGATTTCTGGGACTTGACTTGGTCATCATCTTAGGAATTGTGTTTGACTCTTCCCTGCATTGTGTCGTTCATTTTGTGTGGGTCCTGTATCTTCTTTCTTGGTCTAACAGTTTGGCTAGAGTACACTTCCCGAGGAAAAGGAAGGCATGAGAGACATTTTGAGGCCTTCCATATCTGAAAACTTTTGTAGTTGCAGTCACTACTTTTCTTTTTAAAAAAATGCTTTTTTTTTTTAGAATAGTTAGAATTACAGAAAAATTAAGATGGTACAGTGCTCCCATACACCCCACACCATGTCCCGTGTTACTAACATTTTACATTAGTGTGGCACTTTTGCCACAATTAATGAACCGATATTGGTATATCATTATTAAGTAAACTCCATAATTTATGCAGATTTCCTTAGTTTTTTCCTAGTGTTCTTTTTCTGCCCCAGGACTCCTTCCAGGACATCGTATTACATCTAAGCCGTCCTGTCTCCAGAGGCTCCTCTTGGCTGTGACGGCTTCTTGGACTCCCCTTGCTGTTCATAACCTTCCCAGTTTGGAAAAGTACTGGTCAGGTAGTTTGTAGACTGTCCCTTGAGATTCGTCTGATGTTTTTCTCATGATTAGACTGGGGTTATTTGGAGGGAAATCTCAGAGGTAAAGTACCATTTTCAGCATGTCATATCAGTAAGCCTTATGTTTTTTATTCCTTTACAGTCATTTTAGTAAAGTTTCAGGAAGGAGCACACAGAAGCGCTGTTCCGTATGCTGTGTTTGGTTAGAACTTTCCATAGTTGGATTGTTACTGTTCTTATTCGTATGCATTAATAGAATAATTCTAGCATCTGTGAGTACATGAGCTCCTGGTTTTTAAAACTTGTACTTGTGCTTTTTACTTTAATATATCAGACTTAACAGAAAGTTGTAAAAACTGTATGAAGAATTTCCATATACCCTTCACCTCTATTCTGAATGTTAACATTTTACAGTATGTGCTTTATCAGTATGTCCACATATAAAGATTTTTTTCTAAACTAGTTGAGAGTAAGTTGGAGATACACTGCACCTTTTCCACTAAATACTTCAAGGTATACTTAAAAATGAGGCCAGTCTTTTACATAACCACTGCAAAATTAGGAAGTTAACATAAATACAGTCATCTTACTTAATTTGTACACTCCATTCAGTTTTTGCAAATTATGCTACAAATGCTCCTTATATCAAAAAAATGTTCTTTTCCCTTGTTCAGGATCTGATCCAGGATTGCATGTTGCATTGAGTTGTCGCATCTCTTTTATCTCCTTTAATCTGGAGCAGTTCCTCAGTTTTCCTTTGTCTTTTATAGCCTTAAAACTCTTTAAAGATCATAGACTAATTATTTTAGAGAACTATGCTTTCTAACATGGTAGCCACTAGCTACATGTGACT